CCATCTTGAAGGATTCTCAGAGCCTTTATACAGTGAAGTACAAAAATAAAAATTACAGTAATATTTGGAAACATGTACAATTCAATCTATAGCAGTTCCTGAATTTCCATTCCACTTGATTCTCGTCCATGAGCCTGAGTGTGAGCAAAGATTCTCCAAGCTCCTCTGGTTCTGATTGTCCTCTACATTACAAGGTATACAAGACTTTATAAAGATATTCTTCCCATGCTGTCATCTCATATATGTCTAAGACTATCATTAAAATAGTTTAAGTTATATCATTCAATATCATGTAAGGACGTCCCATGTGTTTGAAGAACTTAGTGCTCTCTGAACTGAGATTAGACATCCCGATACTTTCATCCTTAACTACCACTGTCATCACTCTTTCCTGAGCTTTTTATAACAACTGGTCCTTGAAAACTTTGGATACTAGAAAGGATAAAGAGGTTACTAGGTGACTCCATCATGTTTCAAATTACTTGTGGGGTGAGGATGTAGTATCCATTTCTCTTTTATAATAAGGGCCAGCCATTGAGTCACTGTTTGTAAGCTACAACCCGAGACACATCAAGTGCCTCACGCTGGGCTCTATTGGTTTTCTACATTAGCATATAGTTGCTTTCTCTGCTCCAAAAAATGCCCCCAAGACAACACTGCTGTCAAAAATGTGAGGTCCCCTTAGTGGGAGGTCAATAGCATCTCCATATCCACAGTCAGGAAGAAGAAATGAGATGCCATGCATGCCACCCACTAATCATCCACCTTTCAAGGCTTGATATGGCAATTTTCCCTGAGGATGCAGAAGCTGACAGAAATGCTTTCCGGGTGGAAAACAGGCTTGTAAACCTGCCCAACTTATTATTTTCTGCCTGAAAGCAATAAACATCTGTTTCCTTGATAAAGTAACTAGGCTCAGATCAGAGGGGAGCAAAGCTATTTAGTTCAGCTCCAATTATGGATTCTTCTAGAGAATATCACCCTGAGGGCTCTGTACTGTGACATATTGAACATTACCCCAAACCCTCCAGATTCCCCTATGCATCATCAGCCCAAATTCTATGCTGTGAGACATTTCTTCATGCTACAAAATGTTGGCAGATGTTATTGAGCACAGAATGTAGAGAATAGATGCCCACTGCTGTGAGATGCTGTGGACTAGACTAGACCAAAGCTTAAGGAAGAGATACTTTCTCAATTAATAAACTTCACTCTGGAACCCATTTATTATATCCTATATGACAATAAAATCTAGAAAGAGGCTGAATGTTTATCTTTATTTTTTATATCTTTATTTTTTATATGCAGAACACTTTGACTCTTGATTACTGGCTAATAAAAAAGTATTCTATCTTAGGCTATTCTAAAATCACAAAAACATTTCTTTATCATTCAACTTTCAATAAAATATTTTGAAGGTTGCCTAAGTGCAATAGTGGAGGTGGATAAGGAAAAGAGCAAGCTGTAATTGTTCTGATCAAGTCATTGCAAATGGCTGAATTTGGACCAACCAGCAAGAAAACTTTTTGAGTATTATGGCTTAAGACAAACTTCTTGTTGCTGATGGTGTATTTAAAGGAATATTAAGAAAGAAAATCTCATAATTCCTGACCTGTAAATTTATATTTCAGGTGATAAGTAACATTTGTAGTATAGAAGAAGACTGTATAATGTAGAGAAGAAATGGGAATTAGGAAAGCAAGAGACATAATGATAGAAGACAATTGGAGGAAGATGACCAGAATGAGGAGCAAATAACCAGAGAACTGAGCAAAATCTTAGAAGGTAAGAGAGCTGGTCAAACAGATATGGAAATAGAATCAAGAAAGACAGAAATGGCAGAAGCAAGAGCATGCCAGGAAAGTTCAATGAGCAACATGGACACTAATGTGTCTAGGAAGGAGTGCTTGCAGGGAAGAAGTGGGATGTGACATCAGAAAACTGCCTGGGCTAAAGGAGGGGGGTTATGTAGATTCTTTAGGGGTAATGAAATAAATGTTCCCAAGATATTAAGCAATGGGATTCACATGATCTGAATCCCATTTTTAAAGGATGCCTTATAGAAATAGATTGGAGATATTGGGTAATCAGTGTAGAATCAAGGAATGGTTACAGAGGCTAGGCATCTAAGCAAGAGGCTTGGAAAAGTGGGAAATGGAGGAAGCACAGGATTCTGCAACACTTTGAAGAGTCAATATGATTACACTTGCTAGGTTTGAAAGAAGGGAACATGAAGGATGTGTTGAGATGTTCTGACCTGGAGAGAATGTGAAGACATACAAGTAGGATGGGGAAACAACTTAAGGAAAAACATCAGTGTCTATTAGCTACCTCATATAGATGTTGCACAAGCAATTGGATATATAAAGCCCAGATTTCAGGCAAACGATGTGAGATGGAGTCATCAACTTTGGAATTGTTTTGTATTCAAAGCCATGCTTCTGGAGGATACCACCACAATTACAGTTAAGAATCAAAGATTGAAGCCAGGTGTTGTGGATGGGGGCATGCTTTTAATTCCACTATTCAGAAGGCAGAGGCAGGCAGCTCTCTCTCTCTCTCTCTCTCTCTCTCTCTCTCTCTCTGTGTGTGTGTGTGTGTGTGTGTGTGTGTGTGTGTTGAGCTCAGGAACACACTGAGGTTAACAGGACTAAAAAGAAGACCCAATAAAAAGGACCAAGGTGAGTTGTTGATAGCATGGACAACAAGCCAAAACAATGCATTGTTCTAAGTCCCAGGTGAACAAGCTGTCAAATGCACTGAGTACCAACAGTCAGGTGGAGATCAGAGCTGGTCACTGGGCTAAGCATGTGAATCTGATCAGTGACCTTGGGGAAAGCTAGTTGAGAGGATAGTATTGACTTGGAGAGAAGACAGACAGATGGGATATTCGTGCAGGACAGAGTAGCTGGGAATGTGAGCACAAATTGAGTCACTCATGGTCATACCTCTGATGGAAGATGCAGAGAAGGAGGTGCAGGTGATGATGTGTTTGGCAGAATCCCTCTAGGGTACTTGGTAAGGTGAGAAGCAAGGTCATCAGGTGAAAATGATAAAGATGGGGTGGAATGTTTGCAAGAGGGTGTGAGAAGTCATTGGGCCAGGAACATGGGCATCAGCTGGAAGTCCACTGGACACACACTCTCAATACCCAGGACAGAATGAAAAGCTGTTTATGAACAAGAATTCCAGGTGTCTCATCTATAAATGAGGGGAAAGGATAATAGCAACATATGCATCGAGGTGGTAGTTTCAACAATAAACACATAACATTCGCCGAGCTCTCATCACTCAGGTCTTGGTAAGAAACAGAATCCACTCAGATGGTTTCACTAAGTAGTTCTCAAGTCCAGCTTCATTATCTGCAGAGCTGTTGAACAATGAGCCTCTCCACAGGCCTGTAACACTGCTCTCAGGGGCATGAGAGCAGAAGCATTGGTAGCTGTCTAAGGATTCCATGGTGACTATAATGTGCAGCATGGCTTGCAAACCACCAACGTATGTGGTGTGACTGCAAGGAGGGCTACTCACAGGGATCTGGGCAGAGTTAGAAAGTGAAAATGGGAAATAGAAGCACTCAGGGACCAGCAAATGGAGGAAAAGCATTAACTTACCAAGGTGTAGGAACGAAAAGAGGAAACAGTCCTACTTCAGGGAATGAAGAGCAGCCTGGTGGGATTTAGCAAGGAGGGACTGGATTGCTTCCAGGTAGTGAGCAAATTAGGACCCAGAAGGACTTAATTATCTCCTCTTCCCATCCTGGGTCTTACGATGTTTCCTCCCATTGGCTGGCTCCCAGATGAAGCTGGCAATGCATCTTGGGGTTTGTAGTTCTTCACTGTGGTTTGTAGTCCTGAGAAGCAAGGAGACCAGAGAAAGGTTGCTGGGAAGGCAGATGGAGAATGATCATGAAAAGCCCTTAGTGGAGGACCAGGATGTTTTCCAAGCACTTTATATGGAAATGGTTTTATTTCTTTACTTTTCATTACTATTAACTATTATGATTAGGCTAATTCATTATTAGAAACAGTTGAATATTTTAACGTTTAAACATATACTATCTATAGCTGAAAACTTCCAAGTTTTCTTTTTCTTGATGGTAAAACTAGCACTGATCATCTCTGGACTGAAAAAAGTCTTAATATTAGGTCAAATTCAGAATGTCATCTAGATGGTGAAACAACTTGGGCAGAATGGGTGAATTTTCAAATTTTTACTCAGAAAATGTACAAAGAAAGATACAATGGGCCCGTAAGTTGCAGGTCCCACTGGAATTCTGTCTTGTTTCATGAATGTCCTAAAGAAATCCACAAGGCTAGTTATGGTTGTAAGTCCTTTTGTTTTCAGTTATAAGCTATGTTTTGACATCACCAACAGCCATTCTAGGGATAATGGGAATATGAGACCGCTAGAAGGCAAAAGTGAATCATTAGCTAAAGTGGGCAGAGAAAGCATTCTACTCAAGAAAGACAGAACATAAGATATAAACTGGGTCCTGTTTCTGAGCTTTTAAAACTTAACCAGATTGTGGCTAGGACCCTGGTTCTGTTCCTAGAATCCACATTTGGCTCACAACCATCCATAACTCCAGGGGCCACAGGGAGGCAAGTGAATGAGTATAGGCAAAACATTCATACAAATGGAGTAAAGTAAATAAATCTTTTAAAAGAGGTTTTAAATTACCTAGCATCTGGAGACGAGACTTAGTTGGCAGAATGCTCCTCTAACATAGATGAGGCCCTGGGATTCTATCACCAGCACCATATGAAACCTAAAATTGACTGAGGTGGTAGCACATCTGTAATCTTAGATCTTGGGAAGAGGAGATAGGAGGATCGGGAATTCAAAGTCATCCTCAGCTACAGTATAGTGTTTGAGGCCAGCCTGGGCTACACAAGACCCTATAGCAAAAAAACAGACAAAATGACAAGGAACCGGTTCCTTTTTTTTCTTCCTCTCCCTTCCCTCCTCCCCAACCATCCCCCCAACCACACACCTGCCCCCCACCC